GAGGGACTCCAATGGGGTGTAACTGCCTCAGGGTCTACCTTCCAAAGTGGCCATTCCGCCCCCCCCCCTGAACTGATCTCTTGTCGCTGATTGGTCATAATAGCAGGACTCCAGACACCACCTGGAGTTTGGCAACTCTAGTCCTCAGGGTGACTAGCCCCACTCCCGGTGGCCAACTACAGCGACCAGTGGGGACCACAGAAACCACAACCAGGCCGGACTATTAAAATTTATTTTATTTATTCAATTCATTCATTCATACCCCCGCCCTTTCTCCCCAACAGGGTTTCGAAGTGGCCTAAGTCATTTGCCTCTCCATAATAGCAGAACTCCAGACACCACCTGGAGGTTGGCAACTCTAGTCCTCAGGGTGACTTGCCCCTCTTCCCAGTGTTGTTCGAGCTCCCTTCTTGGCAGCCCTGTAGATTCTGAAGACCCTCTGCTATTAGATAACCAGGACAGCAAGAAGAGTCCGAAAGTTCTCCCTGCTGCGATCTGCCACCCTGCAATCTAGAGCAGCTGCCTCCGGGCATGTACAGAGTGCATTTCCCTCAACTGCTGTTGAGAGAGCCCACAGTCCACTCTCACTCAATTGCAGCCTCCCCCAGGTGGGAAGGGGGGCGACAGTCTCGTGAGCAATGTTCCCTCTAAGCTGTGGAGTCTTGTGAGCAAAAATTGTACTTTGTGAGCGACTGGCGTGAAAGTTGTGAGGGAGCCATTTGGCTACTGCTTAAACCAGTTTGCTCTGGAGCCCTCCTTCCTGAGCGAAGACAAAAATATGCGAGTGGGAAGCTTAAAAACTGAGAGCTAGCTCACACTAACTCAGTTTAGAGGGAGCACGGGGTGTCTGTTGTGGGGAGGGGAAGGGAAAGGAGTTTGTAAGCCGCTCTGAGACGCCAAGTGAAGGGCAGGCTATAAATCCAATCTCCTCCTCCTCCTCCTCCTCCTCTTCTTTTTCTTCTTCTTCTTCCTTAGGGTCCAACTCTTGCAGCCAACTCTTGGGGAGGGCAGGGACTTCAAGGGGTTACATAATGCCGTGGAGTCCACTTTTGTTTGTTTTAGCAGCGTCCAAAATTAGATCTAAGACTAAGGGGATGGTTACCTGATTAAATCTGTTTTAGCCTTTTTATTAGCACAATTCGTAGTCAGTTTTAATCTGATTCTAATGGTGGTAATTTTTATTATTGCTATGGTGTCTTTGGTATAGTGCCAGTTCGGTGTAGTGGTTAAGTGTGTGGACTCTAATCTGGGAGGACCGGGTTTGATTCCCCACTCCTCCACTTGCACCTGCTGATGTGACCTTGGGTCAGTCACAAGCTCTGGCACAGCTGTCCTTGAAAAAGAGCAGTTTGTGTCAGAGTTCTCTCAGCCCCACCCACCTCACAGGGTGTCTGTTGTGGGGAGGGGAAGGGAAAGGAGTTTGTAAGCCGCTCTGAGACACCTTTGGATAGTGAAGGGCGGGGTATAAATCCAAATCCAATCTCTTCTTCTTCTTTTGTATTTTGTAATGGCTTAATACCAGGGCTATTTTTGGGCAGGAACGCACAGGAACGGCGTTCCGGCTGGCTCCTGAGTTGGCCACGTCCAGCAGGAACTCATTAGCATAATAGGCCACACCCAACAGCAGGAACTCATTAGGATTGGCTACATTAGGGGTGTGTGGCCTAACATGCAAAGGAGTTCCTGCTCCCGCCCTCCTTAGGCTCCACCCTCAAAATCTCCTGATATATTTCCCAACCAGGAGCTGGCAACTCTAAGTGAAAGGCACACCAGTGGGAAAAGCTGCCCAGCTCCTTGCTTGGCTCAAAGCCTGCAGCTTGCCTACTCCTGAGTTGGGTTGCCAGCTCTGGGCTGGGAACTACCTGGAGATTTGGGGGTGGAGCCTGAGGACGGTGGGGCTTGGGGAGGAAAAGGGTTTCCATGGGGTACAATGCCATAGACTCCACCTTCCACAGTGGTCATTTTCTCCAGGGGGGACTGGTCTCTGTCGCCTGGAGATCAGTTGTGATACTGGGAGATCTCCAGTCATCACCTGGAGGCTGGCAACCCAAGCCTCACAGGGCACTGCCCCCAAGACAGCTTTCAAGGATCCAAATTAAAACCATAACTATAGTTAGAATTAACCATCCTAAAAAAAAAACCCTGGAATGAAGCCGACATACAGTAAGGGCACGCTTTTCAGAACGACAGAAAGAAAGAATTGTGGCCAGCTACAGCGACCAACGGCGACCACAGAAACAATAACCGGGCCGGACTGTTTTAAAAATTTATTTTATTTATTCAGTTCATTCATACCAATGCTCCCTCTAAGCTGTGGAGTCTTGTGAGCAAAGTTTCTACCTTGGGAGCTACGGGCGTGAAAGTTGTGAGCGAGCCATTTGGCCGCTGCATAAATTAGTTTGCTCCGGAGCCTTCCTCCCTGAGCTAAGACAAACATCGGTGAGCTGGAGGCTAAAAAAACTGTGAGCTAGCTCACACCAACTCAGCTTAGAGGGAACACTGATTCATACCCCGTCCTTTCTCCCCAACAGGGTTTCAAAGTGGCCTACGTCATTTGCCTCTCCTCTATCTCATCCTCACAACCGCCCTTTGAGGTAGGCGAGGCTGAGAGAATGTGTGTGACTGGCCCAAGGTCACCCAACAAGCTTCCATAGCACAAGTGAAAATTCGAACTCGGGACCTTCAGATACTAGTCCGACAAATATCAGCAAGAAGACAGGTGGGGGTGGGAGAGAGGCTTTGCCCTCCCTTAGTAGCACCGTGAAGCAAACTAACAATATATCTATTATTAATTCACTATATGTTGGATGGAATTGTTTTACCATAACATATGCGGTATATTCAGGCGGTCAGCCGTATTGGCAGGTGGGGCTGAGAGACCTCTGACAGAAACTGCTCTTTTCAAGAACAGCTCTGACAGAACTGTGGCTTGCCCAAGGTCATCCAGCAGCTGCAAGTGGAGGAGTGGGGAATCAACCCCGGTTTTCCCAGATTAGAGTCTGCGCACTTGACCGCTACACCAAACTGAACCAAACCACAAAACAGGAAGACAACTTTATTAAAATATGGTATCCTGTTGTAGATTATTTGACACAACATGGAGTCTTATCCAGTTAATAATTATTATAAAACCTTATTATACTTTTGAAAGTGGTTTTAAGTTGTTGATATACTTTACTTGGGTTGACGATATTACGGAAACTCACCCGTAAGATAATGGAAAGATTTTAGTGAATGTTTTGAAAACTAGCTAAAACATGAACACGGTTCTGTGTATCTTTTACCTGTACTGAAGAGCCTGAATTGGTATATTCACTGCTATTATTGTTATTTTTGTAAAAATAATAATTAAAAAAAAGATCGACAAAGATTTATTCAAGGCATGAGCTTTTGTGTGCGCGCACACTTTCCCCAAACACAATAGAATTAGCTTGCGTCACGGTCAATGCTCCCTCTGAGCTGTGGAGTCCTGTGAGCAAAAATTCTACTTTGCGAGCTGCTGGCATTCAAGTTGTGAGCGAGCAATCTAGCTACTGCATACATTAGTTGGCTCTGGAGCCCTCCTTTCTGAGCTAAGACAAAAATGTGTGTTGTTGTTCAGTCGCACAGTCGAGTCCGACTCTTCGCGACCCCATGGACTAGATCCCGCCAGGCCCTCCTGTCTTTCGCTGTCCTCTGAAGTTTGCTCAATTTCATGTTCATTGCGTCGATGACACTGTCTAACCATCTCATCCTTTGCCGTCCCCGTCTTCTTTGACCTTCAGTCTTTCCCAGCATCAGGGTCTTCTCCAGTGAGTGCTCCCTTCTCATTGGGTGGCCAAAGTATTTGAGCTTCAGTTTCATTATCTGGCCTTCCAGGGAACAGTCAGGGTGGATTTCTTTGAGGATCGACTGATTTGATCAAAAATGTGTGAGCCGGAGGCTAAAAGAAGTATGAGCTAGCTCACACTCACTCAGCTTAGAGGGAACACTGCGAAGTTTATAGTGCTCTCACAGTTTTTTATACCATCTAACCAGTCATCCCCGTTTGTGTTTTGCTTTCTCTCTTAGGACCTGTCAATGAACACTGCAGAGGACCTGCCCCTCCCCGACACTGTGAACCCCCCCAGGCCAAGGATCTGAGTTCCCAGGAGGGGGGTATCCGCAGCTGTCCTGAACCGACCCCTTGTTGCAGGAAGGATGGGGGGAAGGAAGCCCCGCCTCTTTGCCACCATTGGCCAGCTCTGCTTTGTGGTATCCATGGGGGAGGCAGGGATGGAGGAGGGGGGCTCGGCATGGGATTGGGGGGGGGTTCTTGAAAACCTGCAGGCAGGAGAAGAGATGCTGTTTGGAGCCTCTTTGTTCTAGTCACAGTTGGGTTTGGGGGCCCCGACGCCTGGCCCTGCAGTTCTGTGGTTCTGTCTTCTTATCCCCTTTGCAAAGCCATTGTCTTGGGGGCGGGTGGGGGGGGGGGGGCGGCGTGCTCGCATGTGCGTGGATCCTTTGGTTGCACACCAATCGCTCTTGCTGCCCCCCACACACACACACACACTCCAAGGCAGCATGGAGATGAACCAGCCCCTGGCTGTGGATTTGCTCACAGCCTACCGGGGAAGGCCCTCTCCCTGGGCGGCCTCCCTTCCTCCCTGCCGCTGGACCACTGCCGCAGCATCTTCCGCAGCCGAAGGAGCGGAGGATGCCGCTGCTTCCCCAGCATCCCTGGCACTGTGTCCCTGACGCCGGCCTGCGGTGCTCTTCCCCATTTCCCACCGCCTGCCTCCTCCCCCGTCAGGACAGGAATGGCTGGAGCAGCGTTGTCGTTCCAGCTTAAGTCTGGGTCGGATCAAGCGGCGATCCTCCTGTCCAGGCCGGTAGGTAATCTCCTGCCGACATCTGCTGCACCACGTGAAAGGGATCAGCACACGGCCACGGGAAGCCGGAGGAAGGCCGCCGAAAGGGAGCCCACCCGAGACCTCCGCCGCAGTCCCTGTGAGTGTGTTTGACGTGTTATGCTCGGGGGGGGGCAAAGGGTACGCAGCTAGAGTGCACCTTGGGAGGTGGTTTTTTTTTTTAATTTAAATTTAATTCTATCGATGAAAATGTCAGTCACTACCCTCTCAAACCACCGTACAGTTGCTTATGACAGAGAGACTAGTATTACAGCAGTGTTCCCTCTAAGCTGAGCCAGTGTGAGCCAGCTCACAGTTTTTTAGCCTCCGGCTCACACGTTTTTGTCTTCGCTCAGGGAGGAGGAGGAGGGCTCCAGAGCAAACCAATTTACGCAGGAGCCAAATCGCTCACTCACAACTTTAGTGCCAGTCGCTCGCAAAGTAGAGTTCTTGCTCACAGGGCTCCACAGCTTAGAAGGGACCATTGACGAGTCGTACTTTTCAGTAAATCAGAACAAACAAACATTTACGATAAGGTGAAATACTTTGAATAAGCAGGATCTGAGTATATATTGCCGTGCTTGACAGTGATGATTGACATAGACTAGGGCAGCAGATCGTAGATGTAGTTCTAGAATAGTGGCTATTATGCCTACGTCTGGGTGTGACACCTATTACAAATGATGTGTTAGAGGTATGATGCAAGTAAGAACACCTATTGTGAATTAAGAGTGCAGTATGTTTAAATAAGCTGGAGGGTGGACTTTGCAAATAAGGTGGACTTTGCAAAACAGAATAAGGGGATGTGGGGGGGAGGTATTTGTGAATTTCTTGCATTGTGCAGGGGGTTGGACTAGATGACCCTGGAGGTCTTTTCCAACTCTATGATTCTGTGATCTGTGACAACTTCTATCCGGGCTAACTTTTGTTGGGGGGAGAGAGAGTGCGCAAGGGTGGAGGGAAATTCAGATGGAAGACCTGAAATGAGGCACCCAATCTGTTGCAGGTAGGTTCATATTTTGTGCCGTTCTTACCATTTTGTGCTATTGGTTTGACGCCCTGGGCTTTAGAAGAGGCCACTGTGCACCGAAAGTGAGCTAGATGCGAAAAGGCACGGTCTCCGTTGCAGACAGACAAACGGGGGCATCGATATTCTGTGGTAAGAGGATAAAACTGCTCTGCGCGCACCGGGAGGCACGCATTTATAACGACCGAGAATCTGTGTCGGGGAATTAAAGGGCTAACCCGTTTGGTAGGCAGGGTGACGCTGGTCCCGCCGCAGGAGAGGTTGGGGGCAGGAACGAGTACCCGTGGCTCTTTTCAGCTCATGCCACTGGCGCAGAGAAGGTAGTCTGGTTCCGAAGCCAGCTGCAAAGTGACCTGACGGACTCGGCCCTCTCCTTTTGATTTCCTTACCCTGCCAGTCCCCAGTCCAGTCCCCAGTCCTTGCTCTCCACCTGCACGAGGTCGTCTCTGGCTGCACACGGGGGCTGTGGCGCATCGATGCCACACAGGTGCCAAGGAGAAGCACCTTCCGCTTTCCCCCTGGACCGCTCGACACAGGCTGGAGTTTGGAAGATAAACAGGACAGAGAGGGATTGCGGCATGCCGGGGCAGCCCTGGGCTTGATGGAGACATCTCTCTCCTGCCAGGAAGGCGGCTTCCCAAAGGAAGAACTGGCACGGGGGCAGGAGACTTTGCCGGGCACCTTCTCCGCTGGCGCATTCCGAGGCTGATCAGGTGAGCCGCACAGAAAGTTTGGAAGGGAGGGGGAGACTTTGCATTCTGACGTGCCCTTCCGCGGGGTGATAGAAGGGTAGAGAACGAGGGTTATGCAAAAGGAGAAGTCAGGGAGACTTTGTTTCCTGGTAGAAGAAATGTTGAGTCCAGTCAGCGCCACCTTGCTGAAAAATTAGATCCCTGCCCCCAGGAGCTTCCAAAGGAAATTTCCAGAGTCAGGATGACAATAGAGGCGGGAGAGACACCAGAGAGGAGGAGGAGGAGGAGACTGGATTTATACCCTGCCCTTCACTACCCGAAGGAGTCTCAGAGCGGCTATGAACCAAATAGGGCTAAGCTAAACCATATATATATATTAAAAAGTACAAATATTTATTAAGGTGTACACGTGTTAAAACTTTCCTGATTAAGAATATCTTTGTCTAAGATCAGACTGTAAAAGCTTGTCCACTATACATATAAATGATGGGTAAAAACTTTACAACTGAAGACCAAATGCGTTACAGAGCGGCTTACAATCTCCTTTCCCTTCCCCCTCCCCACTACAGGCACCCTGTGAGGTAGGCGGGGCTGAGAGAGCTCTCTCGAGAACTGCTCCTGAGAGAACAGCTCTGAAAGAACTTGTGACTGACCCAAGGTCACCCAGCTGGCTGCATGTGGAGGAGCGGGGAATCAAACCGGGTTCTCCCAGGTTAGAGTCCGCACACTTAGCCACTACAGCAAACTGGCTGGCCGTTACAAGGGAGGGAAGGGAAGGAAAACCAAGAGGTACTGGGGCTCCACTGAAATGCACAATTTTCTTTCCTGATCCTTTACCGTGAGGCGTCCTTCCCTTTTGCACAAAGCTCGATGCTACATTTTCAGGTGTAAAAGACCATACAGCTCCGGGGCATTTCCCATGTGCCGCGTAGAACTCCTATTTCTGTTAAAGATACACGACAGCCACGGAAGAACAGAGAGTGGGAACAGAGTTTGAGTTCAGTAAAACCGTTGAGACTGACAAAGTTTCATTCAAGGTATAAGCTTTCGTGCACACGAAAGCTTACGCCTTGAATGAAACTTTGTGGGTCTCAACGGTTTTACTGAACTCAAACTCGGTGCTGCTGCTTCGGACCAACACGGCGACCCCACCTGGATCTCTTTGAATCTAGAATGAATGTAGTGCCATAATCCATGTATCAAACAAAACCAAGTCTTTGGTTTTTCACAGGAGACAGCCTTCAGTCATCCAAAATCCGAAAGCCGCTTTTTTGTAAGGACGGAGGGGCGTCGCGGATAACTCCACAACTGTTAGTAGCAGTTAGTAACAAACATTATTTGCCTGTTGCCCAAGGAATGCTACTGAGGAAAGGCTGCAAGAGTTGGGTCTGTTTCGCCTGGGAAAGAGAAGGCTTAGAGGGGACACGATTGCAGTCTTCAAATATCTGAAGGGCTGTCATGTAGAAGAGGGAGCGGATCTCTTCTCTCTTGCTCCGGGTTGCAAGACTAGATCTAATGGGTGGGAATTACAAGGGAGTCGATACCGGCTAAATATCAGGAGAGACTTCCTAACTGAAAGAGTGGTTGAGCAGTGGAACGGACTGCTTCGGGAGGTGGTGGATGCTCCTTCGCTGGACGTTTTCAAGCGGAGGCTGGGCGACCATCTTTCAGGTGTGTTGTAGGGCTATCTTTCGGCTGTGCTCCTGCAGAGTGCAGGGGGTTGGGCTAGATGACCTGCAAGGTCTCTTCCAACTCTAACATTCTATGATTCTATGATCCTGGTTATCTATGACCTAGAAGGGAAAATACGAAGCAGCTACTGGAGGCGGTCCCTACTCACTAGGAATTTCCTGGCTGAGTAGCCTTACAGAGAAGGAATTTCTACCCAGACTCTGAAACAGGACTTTGGTGCCACCTGGACAGGGTTGCCAGCCTCCAGGTGGGGCCTGGAGATCTCCAGGAATTGCAATTCCTCTCCAGATGACAGAGATCAGTTCCCCTGAAGGCAACGACAACTTTGGAAGGTGGACTCTACGGCATCACGTCTCTGCCGAGTTCCCTCTCCACCCCCAATTCCACCCCCCAAAATATCCAGGAATTTCCCAACCTGGAGTTGGCAACCTTAGGCAATCAATATCATCTATGGCTCATGCCTGTTTGCTTCCTCTCCTTGGATATTCAGCTCAGCGTGGACGTTGCGACGTATGATGGTTTTGCCAAAATCTGCTTGCCGAGAAGAGAGCTACGCAGTTCATCTAGGCTTAGCGCAGTTAATGTTAGCCGTCGGAGGTCTTGCGGAGTGAGTAGAAATGCTGAACTGCCCTTACTTCAGCTGGGTAGGAGGGCATGATTTGCCCCTCCAGAGACCTGTGTTGAGGGTGTGCGCTTGTACGTCCACAGGCCCCTTTCCAGTCGCCTAGAGAATGCTGGAGCATAGCTCTTGGATAACACCCTTCACTGCCACAGGAAGTGGTGGCAGCTACAAGCATGGATGGCTTCAAAAGGGAATTAGATAAGCATATGGAGCAGAGGTCCATCAGTGGCTATTAGCCACAAGGTATAGATAGGGACTCTGGGGCAAGTGATGCTCTGTCTTCTTGGTGCTTGGGGGGGGGGGCGACAGTGGGAGGGCTTCTAATGTCCTGGCCCCACTGGTGGACCTCCTGATGGCACTGGTATTTCTGGCCACTGTGTGATACAGAGTGTTGGGCTGGATGGGCCTTTGGCCTGATCCAACATTGGCGTCTCTTATGTTCTTATGTACCCTGTTTTCTTACAAAGTCCTTGCTGTGGTTTTGCTTTTATTTGTTTAGATAGTTATACCCCTTTTCTCTCTCCAACCACGACAAAAGCAGCTTACAACGTCATTCTCCTCTCTTCCCTTTTACTCTCACAACAGCCCTGCAAGGTAGGTTAGTTGACAAGAGAGTGAGTGGCAGTGTTCCCTCTAAGCTGAGTGAGCTAGCTCACAGTTTTTTTAGCCTCCGGCTCACACATCTCTGTCCCAGCTCAGGAAGGGAGGGCTCCAGAGCCACACTAATTTATGCAGCAGCCCAATCGCTCGATCACAACTGTAATGCCAGGAGCTCACAAAGTAGAACTTTCGCTC